ATAATCGAACTTGTCTTGATTAATGATTTAATAATTTAGTTTGTTTTATGACCACCTTTATAAGGGTTATATACTCTTTGTAAATTGATTTGTTCAATTTTATTATTATTGCCATCAAATATACAATTTAAAACAATGCCATACATTAATAATTACAATTGTAGATTCTGAGTGGAGCGATGAACATATTTATTTTACAATGATATTATGTGTGTTATCAAAATTTTATTTTTGTCTGTCACCACATTTTGGAGCAGTTAAAATGCTTTAATTGTCTTTTCTGTTGGCAAAATAAATCTAGTATGTACTTTAAGGTGTAAAAAATAAACAATTTCCAGTAGTTTTAAAAGCATCGGAAAAAATAAAAAATTTAAGAAAAATTAGTAATTTTTACTCAAAACCAGTTTTTTTAAAATCGATTTTGGTTATTGTCGTAACTCAAAAACAAATAACCGTAAATACTTTAAATGTTCACAATATATTTATATGGACATTCTTTATAGGTAAATGAAACAATTTTAAAAATATTTTTACTTTTCTAAGTATGACAAATTTTCAATTTTTTTGAAGGTTTTTTTTAAAATTATTATTGATAAATAATTTTTGCTCAGTCAAAAAACTTGTAAATGATACCACTCAAAATATTTTGTCATACCTATATAGTATAAAAGGAAATTCCAATATATTTACCATGAATTCAAATTTAACACATCCATTACAAGTGACTGGCTTGAAATGTACTTGAATTACAGCAGATTACCCACTTGCCATCTTATTTTTTCATTTATTATTAACCATTTAATTCTAATGGCGTTAATTTAATTAATAGGTACTTTAATAGCTCAATGTTAATATTAAGTAGGGGTACCATAGGAAGGTTAGGTTACAACTATTACAAGACAATTTTCGCCTATTATAAATCCAAAATATATCGTTTGTACTATGGAATTTTATATAAAAACATAGTGGGTAGGTACACCTTAACACTTGAAGCACCCCACCCTCGGTATGTCCTCGGGAAATGGGTGACGTGGACCGGAAGTGATGAGGCTCGTTCACATACTTATGGAATGGTATAGAATCATTTTACCGATATTACCGCACAACACATTTTATTCACTCACAATAACGGTTAGGTCTAACTCCACGGCGGACGCGGAAAACGAGGCCGGCGACGACCGCGTTTTCCTCATACACTGTCTAATCAGCGACGAGGTTGTGACTCACCCAGACTTAGCATCACAACATTAGCAGACATCGATCCAACCGATCCAATACATTTGACGGTAAATTGTTGGACATTGCTGTACCACTTTTAAAACGTGTCGTAGTTTATTTTCACCTGAGAGCCAATTTCCAATAATTGGAATTATTGTGCATCGCCAAATTCACACCAGCAGCGCAGCTGAAGTTCGTCGAGACTATTGTTGTTTATGCTAAAAATGTTCTTATCAATTTTTTGCACACTGTTGGACAACTTGATGTCGGAGTTTTTTGTCACTGGTAGATAAATATTATAAAAAGCAACTATTTGTTCAGAAAATGTTCAAGGCTAAGCTACCGACACATTTTCTTCTTTATTTGTTGTTAATATTGATAATTATCAAGTATTTCCTAATTCATTGTTTTTTGTCAACAATACTTTAGTATACATGTACTTTTTTTAAGAAATATGAATATACATTTTTCCTCATGTATACTTTAATTTCTTAATGCATGCCGTATATTATTTTAAGACAGCAATTATTTTATAACACAAATCATAACGCTAGATGTATTAACTTATAAAACATTGAATTCGATTTTACGTGATAAATCGATTTTTATGGTATATTTTTTAATTTTTACATAATAAGATAAAAATGTAGGGAAGTATTAGTTAATTTTCTGAGGTTAATATACGTTTTAAATTGTATTAAATTTAGGTTTTCAGCATTTTCCCAAAATCAGAAGAAAAATATCCATTTTATGGGTTTTGTAAATTATCAATTTTATTTTGACCTTGAAGTTTCATGTGTATTCTTGTTTAAAAGAGTATGGTTTAGCATGTAAAGCTGGAATAACCATTGAAGTCTCTCTGATTTTATATATTAGGACCAGGTTAGGCGACGATGCCTAAATGTCCTAGATACTTTAATATGATATTTTAAAACTAAATTAGCTTAATCCTTAAAAAAATTATCTTTAGATGGCAACAATCAATTTGTTTTGACATTGAAATTTTAACCGTGGCTATATACCACACCCTATTAGCGCTTGTGCGTCTGTGGGGTAACTGGGCAAAGTCGAAAATCAAAGACATCGAACTGGTATCGTTTCTTAATTTTCTTTTAACGATCTTATCGATTTATTTTATCAAAGTCCTATCGACTGAAAATCTTGTACGTGTCCAATTATAGATTATAAACGTTGAACGGCCTCCAGCTAGTATAATATTGCAGTGGTCGTGTCTGTCCACATCGCACGCATATATAATATGTTATAATGACAGCGACTAATCCAGGGAAATTTTTAATAAAAAACAATCGTGTACAATATGGATAATGGATATGATATGTATTTTGCAATCGACTTTTTCTGGGAAGTGTATTTTTTTTATTATATGGTCGATGTCGATGTAGATTGTGGACTAGCTGTACGTCGTTTGAAATAATCGAAATTGATTTGAAATAACAATCATTCAATTTAAAACATAGAGAAAAGTATTAATTTTTAGCACTTATCACTATAAAAATAAAATATTCACAAAGTACAATACATTTTTTTTTAATCTATAGTATCGATGGACATTGCATTCAGTAATCAGTAAAGACAGTAATCGATAGTAGAACGGTGGAGTTTTTAAAGGAAATAGTATTAAGAATACATACATTCCATATACCTCCTAAAAATGTATAACTATATAGGTAGTACCTTTATAGTATAGGCAAAATTGTAAGTGTAAAAAAAAAAATATAATAATATTATTGTCTAGTTTCGACTTAGCAGTCATTGCCTAGCAAAGATACTCGTATCGATAGTCTTGTTTTTCTTACGTAGGCACAATAAGACGTGTGAATATGACCTTGTTTTCCCGCTTTCCCGCGGCGTAAAGCCGAGACACGAAAACACGTCGGCTCAACTAGACACTAGTACCTATAATACATGATATAACATCGTATACTACATAACAATAATATAACAACGCGTAACAAAAGATTACGTCGAGTGTGATTAACGAAAAGCAAACATACCCATTTAAATGATCCGTCGAAAAACCAATTACTCATCTCTCACCCGTCATTGTAAGAATTCGATATACTAAACACGCGCGTACATGGCTGAGCTCGTTTTTTTCACTGTCCAGTACGCACCCGGTCGAGGACATTGAGCGGGTCAAGTATAGATAGTGGGTGACACATAGTACAGTGGACGCCGCTTATTATAAGATTCATTTTGGGACCTGCAGCACAAAGTGAGTCTTATATTATTATAAAGTTATACGGCCAAATAGACCTTATAATATAGGAGGAGTGGGGACAAAACGAAAAAAAAAACATATAATAAAATTCAATGTTATCTTTATTTTCTATTTTAATTTTACATATTTATTGTTTATTAAAAAATGTGTTATTTTTGTTTGTTTTTTGTTACTTAATATACTTTCAACAATTTACTGCTTCTACTCGTATTGCTTATGAAATGCGATAACAATTGCTGTACACATACCTAAGGCATTAATATTGAGACCACTACAACACAATAATAACTTTAAAAACTAATTTATTAGGAATTCTAGAAATTTTATCAAAAATTTCTACGTTTTTATACGTTTTTTACGAAACTGGAAGTGTCCTTGAGTAAAATTTGAGTCTTATAACTGACTTTTTTCAATGTATTTGGATACTTCCAGAACGTAACGTGAATCTTATAAGCGATGTTTTATACTATATTACTATTATAGGTATATATAGGCGCCAAATCCCTATTACCATATTACACCAGATTGCAAACACGTGTTCGGTGTCGGTGTTTAGCGGAAACCGAATCGGTCATTCCGAGATGATTTACAAGATATTTTTTAATTTTTTTCAATAAATGCCAAGACGGGCAAGACTAAAATTTTAAACAAAAAACTTTATATGTTATCGGTCATATATAATATTATTGTGCCCAAACAAAGTGTGATACTTTCCTGTATTTTAGTAAAGATAGTAGGTACAATAAAAGTCGTTATCCAGAACCAGTCATTGACTACAGTGCGCGTTCAAAGTCACATAATTTGCAAATCATTTCCCAATCAGGTATAAAAGAAATAAAATCGGCAATAAGATAATTTAAAAACGTAGCCAACATTTTGAAAGCTTTTGCAAATTGTAAAAACGATTTTGAAAATGTTGTTACCATTTTGTAGTCCTTACGTCAGAGGTATGGGGCGGGCTGCATGAAGATTGAATTTATTACTTATATACCTACCGGACTGGGAAATGATTTGCAAATAATTTGGTTGTTGGGTGGGACCAACTTCATGCATATCACACATTTTGAATGCAAATTGAAAACACGATTTTTCGATGATATGGAAAAACGAGCTAGTGTGTCGTTTCGTTTTGTTTCAAAATCGGTAAAAATAAATTGAAGACTAGATTTTTGAAGGAATAATGATTTACCTAAGTTAGTCGTTGTGTAACTTTTGACGAGGTAGTTCTAATGTTTCAAAAATGGCCAGATCTCTGTTGAATAAGACCGGAAAATTCCTGGATGAACTTTAACATCACGGACAGATGATATCAGTATATCTCATTACTCTACGAACTACGATTGACTTCTACATAGCCATATAATATAGTGAAATAACCAACGAAGTTGGCATGTAAATCTTGTCGTTCGATTTTAACGGATGATTTACAAGTGTATCTGGGAAATTTGTCCCCACCCCCTTTTCCTACGACTGTTCAAAAACTGTCAACAGCGGACCAAATGAAACATTGCATCGAAGTTTGTTAGGAACTACAAAATCTATGGTTTCCAATGACTCAAATCCTATAAAACCAATAATACATTGCGACCGGGTGATGAAACTCATTGAAATTGGTGTGATTCCGAGACCCAAGTCCAAATGGTCAAATTCGAGGACGTTAAGACGACGACGAGACCGTAAAATGGATGACCGCCGCGGTGTGCATGCGCTCAGAGTTTCCTACTCGGACTGCACCGCGGCCCTCGCGTGCCCGTTGACGTCATCGCCGACGCCTCCGTCGCAGCAGCAGCAGCCGCAACCGTCGAACGGCACGCCGCGTAGCCGTGACCTCGGTCCGATATTGGTGGGGTCCGGGGGAGGGGGGTGGAGCGGCTAGCGGCGCATCATCGGTCTTTATATGCACCGGTGGACTCGCGGGCCCGGCCAATTGTCGCGGAACCGTTGTCGTACCAATACTTGCAACCGTGGTATCATATTATTGTTATAACTGTTGTGTGTTTGTCTTGCGCGTAACCGGTTTACCCGTTCTAGTCCCGCGCCAGAGATCGATAAAAGTCCGTTTGTTTTTTTGTTCCACATACACTGTACACTTTGGATTTTAATCCGATTTCCCGCGGCGTTTACGATCGATTATCATAATAATTACCCGTCCGAAAACCACCGCTCCCGCGCGAATCCACGTCAGATCGACCTAGCAACGAATTTCCTTAACCACTCCAAGTCGTCGCACCGTCGCCTCCGAACTGGTAAGTCGAACGAGAGATGTACGATGTACCTACCTCGATATTATACTATACGTTATAACCTCGTTGGTATGATACGACACTCGGTATTTGAAAAACCATTATCGATTTTGTTGATAAGTTTAAAAAACTATGTTAAGTCGTTACAAAATGAGATTTTTAAAAAATAATATAGGTGTACGTACTTTCAAAAATGTTTATTATTATAATTTTTCATGTTTTTAATTTTTTTGAATGACAACACGTATTTTTAATTACACATTCCGAAGCAGAATATTATTCAAAATTGTTTTGATACATAAAAATAAATTTTTGGACGAGTAATTAATAAGTAATAACTTATGTGTTTAAAGTTTAGATGAGTGAACTGCATGACTTATTGAACCAAATTTAGATGAGTACCCCTGTGTGGGGTGTCACTTCACTCATATCATCTAAACTTTTATAAATAGTTATAACTCATAAATTACCAGTTCAAAATTTGATTTTTATACAACAAAGTCTCGGAAAAATATTAATTAAAGATTAAGAATTAAAACAAAAATAACAGTAAAAAATGTAGTATTGTATTAACCGATATAAATAATAGATATAAATTATAGTCCTGTGGCGTGGTAGGGACAGTGGCGCCGAGACAGTATTAAAATAGTCGGGCAAACTTTCCAAAATAGGCAATACACCCACCACGTACCCAAAAAAAAATTTTACAAATTAATGGGGGGCTCTGCCCCCCATACCCCCTTAATAATATTCCTCTATTTACAATAACACACATTTTTATATATTTCTTTAAAAATTATTTAAATATATTATAAAAATTAATAATATAGGTACACATAACTTGAAACAGTTGTAATACTGTAATAATATAAGTAACTAATAATTAATAATAGAATTTCACAAATAAAATATTAATAGTAGTAGGTAGTTATAAATTATAATATAATAAAATAGATAGTAAATAAAATAATTTAAACTTTTAAATAAATAATTTTTATTTATTTTAATGATAATCACAGTAAAGAGTAAAATATTCACTAAAAACAAATTTACAAAAAACAATTAGATTATTTTAGTATTTTAATTTTTTATTTAAAACTGTAGATTTTGTCGCAAAGTTGTCTATTATTGTTTCTGAATCTAACTGTATAATCAGCTTCACAGGTGATACGCATCAGATCTATCGTCCCCCATTGTGCTTCTTAAACGACTTTTTATTAATTTTAATTTGGAAAAAGATCTCTCTGGGGAACAGCTTGATACTGGAATAGTCACTCCAATTTTTATAAGCATAAATAAACTTGGGAAAATAGATTTTAGACCAGCTTTACAGAAATCTTGAAAAACACACATTAAACTTGATGAATTTTGCCACCTTTTTAATTGTTCAGATGTAGTATCATCACTGTTTGAATCGTTAGAGCTCAAACTTGAATTGTCATAATTTAAATTAGGATGCAGATACAGTGGAAAAGTTTCATTAACAATTAAATCACAATTTATAAACTGTTCATACTCCCTAGTCCCTACGGCCTACGGACATCTTCTAACTTTAATAATGTATTATATACCAAACAAACAGCCTTAAATACATCTATAGGAATGCTTTTAGGGTTTTTTTTTTAATGCTTTTATACGTTTGATTGATAATAAAGCAAAATCTTTCATTACTTCAATAGTTTTATTAGTAAATCTTTGACTGATTTGTGTTGAAAGCAATATAATATAATAGGTATACCTAATAGAATATATAAATATATAATATATTTATAACAATTTATATTTTGGGTATAGGTTATAATGCTTATATTAAAAATCACAATAATTCCTACATTTATAGTTTTACTAAATTGATAATTTAAAATTTTAAAATTTTACAAAATTCCAATACATTTTAAAATTATAAGTAGATAAATAATTTTTATGATTACCTGCAGTAAGAGTGTCAGTTGGTAAAATCTCACTGACTGATGGTATTTGAATCTGTTTATCATAATCATTTTGGCCCAACAGATAAAACTTAATTGATATTTATAGAAAAAAAAACTAAAAAAAATGAAAACTGAAAATGTCCGTAAACAGCTCAAAAAGAATCAAAATATTTTCAAAATTGTATGGTGTATAGAAAATGCTAATTTAAACATTCAGTGAAATTTTCATGTATCTACAGTTGTTCGTTTTTGAATTACAACAAAATAAGGAAATCGCTACATGAGAAATCGAGTGAATATCCAATGTTGTAAAAATTTGAATTTCAAACGTTCATAAAAATTTAATTTGACTTTCTTATAGACATTTTTTTTTGATAAAGGTAGATAATCTTATAAGGAATCTTGTATTACATTTTCAAATCTTAGATTTAAAAAGAAAAATTTTTACGAATTCTTAACTCAAAATAATTTACTAATTTTCGTGATTTTTCCATATTTTGTCAATTTTTGAACTTTAAATGCTTATAAAAAAAAATTGTGACTAAGGATTTTTAATATTTTTTATCTGCCTTTGAAACAATATTATACTAGGAGCCTTCTATTAAATTGTCAAGCTTTTTTAAGCAACAAATAAAATTTGTTCATTTGTTTTAGAGTTACACCAAAAACCAAAATCGATTTTTTGGAAAACTGATTTTGCGTAAATATTCCCGTTTTTCCTTAATTTTTGTGTTGTTTTTCCCGGCGTTGTGAAAACTACTGGGAAATTTTTACTTTTAACCCCCCAAAGTACCAACTAGATTCACTTTCCTATCAGAAAAGATACTGTTGAAGAAAACCCAAGCACATTTACTGTAGTAAAACGTGATGACAGACACAAAAAAAAATTTAAAAAAAAAAATTAATAAAAAAAAAAACACACATCATTGTAAAATCAATACATTCATCGTTTCACTCAGAATCTAATAGACTTTATTTATTTTTCCCGTACATAGATATGATATTATTACATGATATTATTAACATCATCGTCCACGGGCCAACCATTTATTAATAATGATAATAGCTATATTAATACAATAAATAGAATTATCAGAATTGACAATAGTTCGTACTTCGTAGTACCCATACCAACATAATATTAATTATTATATAGGTACATTTATAACAATATTATATTGTTATTTACGCTGTACACATCACACAGGTCTTACTGCATATAATTGGTACCTACTTCTATAAGAAGTATAGCATAATATTATTATTATTTACAACCACCCACTTGACCACCACCACCACCACCACCACCACCACCCAAAAAATTTGGTCGGGCGACCGCCCGACCTATACCCCGTGTTCGGCGCCACTGGGTAGGGACGCTTACGTAGGGTCACTGTGCATGCCCATCAATCGAGAATGTTATTAAAACTATAGGTAAGGATTTCTAACATCACAACCATTTTAATAAGAGAATAAGGTTTTGAATTTTGTAAGTCTTCTGATAGATCCAATTGACGTCGACGCACAGTCTAGTCGTCGCATATATTCAAATTTCAAACACAACACGCGCCACGATAAGTCGCAACATTTGTCCCACAAGCGCCAAAACCACATCCACTGCCTTTATACCCGCGATCTTTGGAATACCTAACGATGATAATCGTATTATATAATATATATACGTATTACGTGTATTATATTATTATACATTGACAATATGTAGTCAAACAATATTTAGCCGTCGTCTCCGAGGTTTGGTTATCTGCCGCCCACCAAGCGGGTGCGCAACAGACGGCACGTGCCAAAGTTTGTTGTTACCGCCCAGAAGTCTGCAACGGCGGCTGCTGAGGGCGACGCGTATTCAAACGACCGAAAAGTTTTCTGATATTTTTGAACCACCCTACCTCGTCGCCACAGCTCGATATGTATATTATTATGTATAGGTATTTTGTTGAAGCAAGCCGTTTATTGTTTGTCGTATTATATCCTATACTTTGTGTCTATAATATGTTCAATGTTAGGTACACGAAAAACGGGCTTTTGCAAAACAGTTTTTTTCGTTTTGGCCGTGTATTTATCCACCGGTTGTAATCTCTTCAAACGCGGGTCGGCATATTAGGTACTTTTTCAAAGATTTTTTTTTTTTAATCCGGGATGAACAATATAATATAATATAATACCTATATACATACTTGCCGTTGTGTAAACAACCGTGTACAGGCTTACTACGCAAAATATGCTAACGGTTGGAAACTAATTTAAAATATCGATTCTCAAAACGAACTGTTTCAATTTCAGTAATTGTTCCGCAGTAATTAATTTTCATAAAAACATTTTTCATCCTACATTTTTCCTATTTTACGTTTATGGTTAAATAACCTGGCAAACAATTTTATCGTATTTTAAATTTTTATTTCAATTACAATTATACCGTGTAGGTTTCGATGTGTTGGACGTGATCCTCTATAGGATGGAAGAAATATAAGATATAGTGTTGGGTACCTACTTCTCAATGCAATGTAATGAATTTATGATATTTTATGAAGAAGGCGGTTAATAAAAAAAAAAAAACTTACTAGCTAAAATAACTTATACTAGTTAACTCTTGTGATGTATAATAAACATAATATTATATAATACCTACTATAATAGTATATGACAAATTAGTAAGAATTTAAATTATCTTTGATTTAAAATTATAT